TTGTGGTCAGCTCCTTTTTGTGTCTCAGGTCCACCGACGTATATGGCGAGCTAACTGGACAAATTGGTAATGGCAGGAAAGCCGTTCATATGGAGGTAAGTGGTCAGCTGGTAAGCGAGAAACTACTTATTTAAAGTGAGTTAAAACACAGTTATAAAGGTTTTTTGGGACAACTTAATTGTTTTATATTCAACTAACTTGAATGTGTAGAAATAATTATGTTAACCTAATACATTTTTATTGGGACAACATGAAAAAATTCTGTGGATCTTTTTTCACACACTGCACGGTAAAAAATGCAGGGTTCCACACAATTCATTCATGTTGTCTCAACACAAATTGATTAAGTTAACTTAACACTTTTAACAAAATTATGTGAATTAAACATTAAAAATTAAGTTGTCCCAATGAAATCTCAAGTTTCAGCTCATTTTAAATAAGTAGTTTGAACAAGCTAAAAAATAAATTAATTAATTTTTTTGAGTGTGTAAAAAAACTGCAGGATTCCACATAATTCCTTCCGGTAACTTAATTGTTTTTACAAATTTAAGTTGATTGACCATAACACAATTCAGTTATCCCACAAAACCCTCAAGAATTGTGTTGATTCGGCTCATTATAAATAAGAATTTTGAACAAGCAGCAAAAATATTTTTTGAGTGCAGTGTATATTCTATACAAAGCATGAAGCTGATTGGTGGCATTCTGAAAAGTTCATGGCTGCATCTGAAATCACCTACTACTCAGTAAGTACTATTTTTGAATTTAAATTTACTTCTCGACCGTTAGAAAAGTATGTATACAGTATGAATGTGAGTAGTATGAATGAAAATTAGAAATACTACATCCGCCATTTTGTCATGATCACGTCAGTTGTGGTGCTTCACTTCCATTCATGAGTTCTCTTATAAAGCATCATGAGATAACGTAGATTCCATCAGATGCACACTTCAGAATCTCGCTGGAAGTAATAGGTCATCTGTGTATACTTCTCGCATAATGTTTTTCGAATTCAAGAATTCAGACATACTACTCGGTTAGCATACTGTTAACATAACGTACTATATAGTATTAAGACATGAGATTTTGGAGGCAGCAGCTAAGTTTTCAATTGAGGGCGCCTGGAAAACGTGCGCAAGCCACGTGCTTCCATTGTAAGTAATGAACTTGCACACACAAAAGACACAATATGTGAATGGCCCCATAATTGATCTTTTATTTGTGTTTGCTGATTAATATTTATAAGTGAATAAAGGCTGAAATTAAATTCATTGTTCATTGAATACAGTTTTAAAGAGATACTTAATTCATTCATTCATTTTCTTGTCGGCTTAGTCCCTTTATTAATCCGGGGTCGCTACAGCGGAATGAACCGCCAACTTATCCAGCAAGTGTTTATGCAGCGGATGCCCTTCCAGCCGCAACCCATCTCTGGGAAAAGAGATACTTAATGCCAAACTCAAAATTTCTGTGAGCATTTACTCACCATATGACTTCTTTACTCTATTGAACACAAAACAAGATCATTTGAAGCAAATGGAAACTTGTAACCATTGACTATAACCATAGTATTTGTTTTTATATTATGGAAGTCAATGGATAGATGTTTTGAGCTTTCTTTAAAATATATGTATTTGTGTGTACTTAACAAAATAAAGAAACTCATAATAGTTTGGAGCCACTTTAAGGGTAAGCAAATAGTGAAAAAATGTTCACTATCCATTGAACGTTATACTACCTAATTCATATGAATTTGTGGATATTTTTAAGTTGTTTTGAGAGTTTTGGGTCTATATTTTAGGACATGTTCACTAAACTGTTCTTTTTGGAACCCAGAATGACTCTTCTATAGCATCACTGCTAAAAATCAAAGCCTATAAAGGCGATTGAAGCCTATATTTTTAAGAGTGAACATTCAGATTTTGATCAGTAGTTGGAGGAACTGTAAAACCGCCTCAGGCGAAGAAGTCTGTGGCTTTTTCAGCCACTTTAAGTCGGTTTGTACATCTCCAGGAATGACTGATACCATCACTCAGGGCAAAACCAAAAAATACAAACTTCTGGGCCGTGAGAACAGCATTCCTGGAGCTGGATAAATCAAACCTAGACATGCGGATGACAGACAGAGCTTGTCCAGAATGCGGAAGCTGAATTAGAAGCAAGAAAAATGCTCAAAACTGCTCTGACTCCATCTAGCATGCAGCTCCATCCCTCGGGAGCAAAAAGACAGAGTGAACGCGGGCCTTGGAGAATGATTTCTTATACACACACACACACACACACACACACACACACACACACACACACACACACACACACACACACACACACACACACACACACACCACTGATGTGGACCTCACAGATAGCTAAAAAACACAGCTAATTCAAGTGTTCTATTGCCTTCATACATTCATTTAAAAAAACAATCAATAACAGTAGTTTATATACCAAAATATAGTTCATAATGACAGTTTATATGTTAAACTAAAAAGTCAGGCATTTAGAACAACAATTATTTGATGACATAATAAAAGACTGTATTTAAGGATCACAATGCAGCAACCAAATATAAATTATTTGTGATTTTAAATGTTTCTATTTTGCTGCTTTTCAGCAAATCACCAACTTTTACCTTTTTGTCAGCAAGTAGTGTTAATCATTTTAAATAAAAAAGTGTGATATTATTTGACATATTTTAACAATGACAGTTAGTGGCATTAAAAGTTGAAGGTGAAAAATAAATTAGAATCTGAAGATCAAGGTAAATTGCACTTAATTTGTGTTACGAGATGAATCCAAATATTTTCTGTTATTTCTGAAGGTCAGTGCTAAATGAAGAAACAAAGTGATTTCAACAAAATAAGAAAAATTGGATATCTTCAACCTGTTTAAAAGTTTTCACCCCAATGCCTTGTGTTTCCTTCTAGAGCATCAGTAAGGATTTGAACCTTTTTTTTTAGCAGTCCCTAAATCATCTTCTGTGTGAAAAGATGGATCTCGCAGTCATACAGTCACTGCTGGAAAGGGTTCAAATCTGCAGAAGATGCTCGAAAACTGAAGAATCTCCAGGAGATGGAGGATTTTTCTGAAGAACAGCATTCAGTTTAACTGTTCAAAAAAAAAAAGCGATACTTGTGAACAACAATCACAAAGTAGAAGCAGTACTCGTAGATCATCAGGAAACTACACACAGTGTTGAAAACCAAGCATATGTAAACTTTTGCATGAGGCTTTTTTAATAATTTCAACTTGAATTTGGTGTAGTAAACTATGTAAACATATTTTATATAAAATATCTTACTCGAGACGGTACTAAATAAAAACACCATGCATTTTGTATGATCTCACTTATTTTGTTCAAACTATTCACATTTTAATAAATTCTGCAAGAAGTAAATTCTGAGCACAACTGAACATGATTTTAGCTCATTCCTGTTAAATTTTGATCAAAAATATTTGAAAAATGAATGTAGAAACTTTTGTCAATTTTATTTGATAATTCTTGATCTATGTTGCTTACCTTAAATACATTAGAACAATAGGATTTAAAAAAAAATTATTTAGCTAAACTTGTATAATGCAGTAAATGTGTTTACAGCCTCGTTTGAACAACTACATGTATGCTTGCTGAAAAAATACTTAATCTAATAATTGATATTTAATTTTTAAGAAAACAAAATAAGGTGGAGTGGCTAGTTGATGTTCCAGTAAAAGCCACTGCTTTACAGTAAATGCCACACTTTACAATATGTAGGCAATTAAAGTACAGGAATCAGCCATTTCTGTGCACCGATGTCCACAGGTGTCCACCAGGACTCTCTGCCAGCCGTTTATAATTTAAAGGTCACAGCATGTTTCCATTTCTGTTTAAATCAAATTAACCCTGCAGCTATTTATAGCAGAACAAGCTGCTAGATCCGTAGAGAACAAAACAGAAGAGCACAAAATCTCTTCAATATGTCAATTATGTACAGAAGTGAAGTGAATTCGAGATTTTGCTGCAATTTAAAAAGCTAAAACGTCAAAATCTTAGAACTCGCACAAACTTTTCTTGCTAGATTCTTCAGATGCCATATCATGATAATAGCACTCTACTATTACTCTATGCAAACATCTTTCAGATTCATTTCTGTTTGTAGGAATTTTAACAGAAGCATCTGAGATGGAGTTTATACTAAAATGAGATGTAACTGGAAGTCTGTTTTGTCTCCAGAGCACTGAAAAATAGTCCACTGGGAGGTTTTAAGAAGGGAAAATGAGAAGTATGATTGTAGATGGCGCACAGATTAAGAGAGACAAAGGAAGAATGAAAGATGCTAATGTTGATCTAAATCCTCAAGACTTCTACCGATGCCAGAACAACGCTGTATCACTTCAAAGACTCGTGTAGAAGTGCTTTCTCCAACAATTATCCCTCTCGCTCAACGTCTATCTTTCGGTGTCATCGTTGTTATTCAAGCGCAGTCTAGGAATGCGATGGTTTTTGTGGATGAGCGATTTTACTACTGATCAAAGTCTGCCAGAAACATCTGGGCCAGTGTAGCAAAGCTGCCTCCATGGCAAATGGCTTTTGAGGATGTGAAACAATATTTGGACTCTTTATATCGTACTGTTTTATTTGACTTTAAAGTGCTTTCACATAGTTTAAACATTTAAAGGGATGGGTCACCCAATAGTTTTCTCTGAAGAAGGGATGATGGTTATTCATGGCATCTCGAGCTAGTTTAGCTCTCAAATATGAATTCAATCTTCATCCATAGTAACAATGATTGTAAAATGTGTATGAATGAGTGAAAATGCTAAAATCCGATGATGATTCTTATAAATTAAATACAAAAAAAACATTTATTTATTTTGCATGTAGCTTTAGTATCTTTTCAGTGCAATTTGTAAATGAAATCATCATAATTTTGACCCTTTTTAATCTCATAATTTGACAATTTAAATTTAGTATGTCATAATTTTAGTTTTTTAATCATAATTCTAATATTTATTTATGTCAAAATTATGACATATCTTATAATTTTGACTGAAGCATGTCAGTTTTGACTGTATCTCATAATTTAGACTTATAGGTATGGAAACGTCTATAGGAGAAGAGAAACATCCATGAAAGAAGGCGAGCCAGGGTAAAGGTGAGCTGAACCATGTGACATTGACTCCAGCCACTGAATGACTGGAATCGAGGAGGCTTTATGGGGGATTGTGATTATAGGTGCAGGTGAGTCTAATTAGAATTCAGGGGAGTCATAAGTATGTCATAATATTTACTTTATATTTTGACCTGTCACAATTTCTTATGTCTTTTAAAGTTATAATTTCAACTCATTATTGTATTTAGTAATTTATTACTGTGTTATGACCTTTCATTATGACTTACATTTAATCTTAATTTTGGTTTGACATATTTAAGATATAATATAATCATATAATATAATAGAATTACATATAATTGTGACATTTTTAGTCATAATTTCAAGTTCATAAGTCATAATCTCGACTTTTTATCTTGTTATTTTGACCTGTCACAATTTCGTATGACCTTCAAAGTTGTAATTTTGACTAATTTCAATAAGTGATTTATTCAACACAGGCTCATTCTGAAAACGTAGTCCCGCGGATGTTTCTGGAGACTGAATGGCTGCATTGTATTTTTTTAAGCGAATGCTGCGGGATGGTGTGACGCCTTTCCTTTTGGTGCTTACGGGCTGGCCGCAGCAACCAGTTTGTCTGGTTAGCTCATCGTGTACGTCAGCGGACTTGAGACGCAGAGAAGAGTTGACCATGACGAAGATGACCGGGTTCGAGTACGGCGAAGAGCGGTTCTAGAAATTAGGTAAGACAGTGGGGTGAGAATGTGGTAAATTCTGAAAACGTGGTAAAAAATCAGAAGAGGGCTTTTGTAAACCGTTGGTTGGGTTTAGGGGAAGAAAGTGGGTGGGCAGGTCAATTGGTAAAATTGGTTGGGTTTAGGGAAGGAGGAAGGTGGGCCGGTCGATTGGCTGGTCGTCCAGTCAATCATTCAGTCATTCAGTCGGTCAACTGCGGCCTCTTGTGGGTTCATACGAGAACAGCACAGGCGTGAACCGCACTCACGAGAGACATTTGAGATGTGAAAAAGCGCGCACAGTGGCCTTTAGCAGATTTGCAAAAACAAAAACTGCAAAATACATACCTCCCGGGACGTATTTCTTGGTTTCCAAAAACGTCCACAGGACTACGTTTTCAGAATGAGCCTGGGATGGATTTATTATAGCACTTACATAAAAACAGCTTTTGCTGCATTTTTAAACAGCTTATTTAAAATCAGCTGAAAGAACTACTCTTACGGTTCTTTTGATCTACCCAATTGTTTTTTTTTAAATCCACTTAAATTTGTAAAATGATTAAGTCAACTTAATTTATTTGTGTTAGGACAAAATGAAGGAATTGTGTGGAACTCAGCATCTTTTACAGTGTGTATTGTGACTTTTTAGGTCACAGTTATGACTTACACGTGTCATTATTTCCACAACTTGTGCCTGATGTGGTGAAAATGTGCTTCCACGCGTCTTATAAGTAGAATCTATTCATTCAAATAGACAGAGTTTTTTGTGTGTGCGCATTTTCTTCAGGCTTGTTTAATATTCTTAAGTTGTAGATAAACACTTGACATAAGGAAGCTTTTCACTTGGCTTGAGAAAGAAGTGCCTAATTCCGAACAAACAGACGGAAGGTCGAGTTTCAGATGCTCACCTTTGACCTCTCGCTCTCTTAAAGTACAAGTAGACGGAGCCATGTAAACGTGTGGCCACATATGGGCTGTTTGACACCTCTGAATGGCTCCTTTTCTTACGACTCGTGTTTATTATAACAAGTGTTGGAATTCGGTCTAATGAAGGTTTTTATTATCTATAAATAAGGTCCTCTGGAGTGAGTGGAGCGTTTAAGAGAGATGATTGACAAGACCTGCTGGCACTTCAAACTGTTGTTCTTAAGTCTCGCAGTGAAGGTAAGATGACAATGTTCTTTCACAGTTTACTTGTAGATTAGCCAACATCAGCTCATTCTGAATACCTAGCCATATATAAGTTTCTGGAGATCACGAATTATGTAGCCAAAAGTATATATGGCTGTTTTTCGTCTTTAAAACAAATTCCTTTTCACTTTTACCAGCTGACTGCTTACATTTGTATGGATGGTTTTCCCTCTGTTACCAGTTTGTCCAGTAGCTCGCCATGTACGTCGACGGACTTGAGACACAGAGATGAGTTGACCACAACAACGGGGTTTGAGTCTTGTAAAGAATGGTTCCAGAAAGCGGTTAAAACAAAAACAAAAGCCAAAACAAAAAATAACAGGGTGAGAATGTGGTAAAATCTAAAAGCGTAGAAAAAAAACAGTCGAGGGCTTTTTTCTTTCTAGATTGCTTTTTAAAACCGATTGACCCACTTTCCTGAACTCAACCAACGCTTTAGGGAAGTGGGTGGGCGCTGGTCAATCGGTGCTTTTGAAAACACTATTGGTTGGGTTTATTTAAACAGGGTGAGCTGCCTCTTTTAGGTTTTTATCCTAACTGAGTCATTTTGGTGACTGTAGCGTTAAATTCATATTAGATTGTGCTCTTTTCAAAAGAGGGTGGAGCTACAAATGCCTGTGTGTCAGCATAGTGGCAAAAAACAAGACTAACTTCAATGCTAAAAAGGAGAGATCATCACTAAAGGGGAATAGGCGTTTTCTCCTTCTGATGGCACATACAAAGGGAGAGTGTCAATCAAGTTTCTGCAAACTGTTTTTAAGTGTGATTCTAAAAAATAACAGTAATAATAGTTTTACCACTAGAAGCTAGTATATATTATTCACAGACTGTTGCCACATCAATGTGTTTGAACTCCTTATAAAAAGTGATTTTTGCATAAAGGGTCCCCTTTATTGTGACACTTGATCGATTCAGATCATTTCCTGTGTGTGTTTAAAACATCATATTTTATAATAAAAATCTTGTAGCCAACGTGTCCACCGTGTCATGCAAACATATGAGCGACAGGCCTGCATCACATTCCAGCTTAATATAACTGGTAGCTGTAGCCAAGCCTTTACAGAGGCATAGTGCTCCAGAGTGTTTTCTAGATAAATGAAATCTGTCCCAAAGCATTTTTCAATCTTCAAAGCTCAGATCTGGATTTGGAGTCTTCTCTATTAGTATCTGCCATTAAATGGACTACAAGGTCCAGTCATAAAACGCACACACACCTGGCCTAGGCCAATCATGGAGATCTAGGATAGGTGTGTGAGAGGTGCATGGCTGGATCATGTAGTCCATTTAATGGTGGATTTGTAGTTGTATGCAGTTTACCAGTGATCTGCACATGCTGGATCCCTGGTGATCATGACACAGGCAGGCTGAGTATTAGTGTTATTATATAATCAATTAACTTTAGACTTTTCAAGAGTGTCTGCTTCGCGTTTCACGCCTTCAAACGCCAGGACACATGTCGGCATTTGTATTCTGTGGTGCAAGTAATTCATTGAATAAAGAAACGATTCACCCAGCTTCTCCTACTGCAGCAAATTCTGTTTTTACTTTTGATATTTGGCGCCAGTTAATCAGGAAACAATGATCTTGTTCTCTTTGGCTACTTGGATGGAAAGGAATAATATGTAATATTCTAGTTATGTGCATAAATTTAATTTACATCTTTGGATGGAAACATAGCTAATGGTGTAAACTGGCTTGCTGTATTCTTGATATTAGAAATTATAAACATTTTGCTTGTTAAAAAAATAATAATAATTTCATTTCTGCAAGTAATGCCGTCATGATTGATATCAGAGTCCTATTTGAATGGCAATTGTTTCTCATATGGGGCTCTCTGTAAAGGAAATCCTCAATATTAAGAGTTAACAGTTTAACTCAAGTAGTGAAAATGTAATTACTGATATACGTTGCATGGATAAATGTCAGAGCGGCTTGCCATAGAGTAGAGAAGGCAATGGTTAGGAATAGAGTCTGCTTTCCTCCACCTGTGCTTTGGGCTCATTCTTTCTGCACGATATGCTCTGCACTGATAATTTTGCAAATGTTTTTTTGTTAAAAGGAAATGATTGGCCATGCTTGGGAGAAATGAGATGAAGAACAAAACGAAGGGGAGAAGAATGTGTAGAAGTTTAAATGAGAAAAAGTTGGATGAATTATGAAAGTCTTTTGCATATCCACCTTTTCCCCATTATGGCGAAGCGCTGGTCTGGTAATTAAAGTCATGCACTGATGGGATTGGTGCGTTGTGTGCCACTGTGCTCCTTTATTATACTCTGTCATTTTGGCATATTTGAGAAAGGAAGGAGGTTGAAGAAGGAGACTGGAAAAATGAGCACAGGTCCAATAAAATAGAGGAGCGTAAATAACTGTCTCTGCTGGGTTTCGTGATGAATGTGAATCGTTGTTCTTCTGGTAGATTCCTGTCTGTAATTATCATTTCAGGCAACTTTTTTAATTTAAGAAGAAATATATATGATACAATACATGTTACATAACTGTTTTGTAGATTGATATTAGTAAAAATATTTCACATATTGGTTCCCCCTTTTTTTTTTATAATAATATATACATTTACTACTGGTCAAAAGTTTGGCGTCAGTATGATTTTTAAATATTTTAAAATAAGCTTATCCAGCTCACCAAGGCTCCATTTATTTAATCAAAAATACACTACAAATTGTCAAATTGTGAAATGTTATTGCACTATAAAATAACTGTTCAAAAATAGTTTATATTTTAATTTGATAATTTATTTCAGTCATTTTAAAGATGAATTTTCAGCTTTATTACTCCAGTCTTCAGAGTCGCATGATCCTTGAAAAATCACTCATTATTAATTATTATTATTATTATTATTTATTTTTTTATTAATGTAATGGTAATAAAAGCAATAATAACTGGAGTAATTTTTTTATTTGAAACCACATACAATAAGAAAGCAGTTCTTCAAAATTTTAATAAATATTTAACAATTACATTTTTTTTATATATTTAATAAATGCCACCTTGATCAACAGAATGGTTTTAATATATTTATTACATAATTGTTTTTGATATTAGAACAAATATTACAAATATTGATTCCCTAATTTGTTAGATTATATATTTTGTTTTGTTTTATAATGGGCATTTTTATTTAAAGCTTTAATATAATTTAATTTTATAATTTAATAATAATAAAAATAATTACTATTTGTATTATTATTACATTTGTTAATAGTATTGCAAATTTTGTGTTTACATTTATTTATTTATTTATTTATTTGTTAATTTATTTTAGTGCATTAAGTAAAACTCACTGAAGAAGATAAATATTTCTCCAACAACCAGATGAACTAAAAAAAATGATTTTTTTTATTTTTATTTTATTAATTTTTTATTTTTTGGTTACAATAACAAACGGTTCAGTTTTAAACAGTTTTTTTTTGTTAGACATTCTTCAAATATGTCTATATATTTGGTTTGATTATTTCATTTGATTATTTTATCATTTTATCAATAGATGAAATAACTATGTAAAGTATATATAAACTATATAAATATACACATTTTACTTAATTTTAGTGGAGATTAGTTTGTTCATTTCTATCTTTGTAGCTTTATTCCTTTTAAGACCCCATTGGTCACAAATCTCCCTCCATTGTACATAAAATACCTCTGATTTTCTGACTGGTTGTGGTCCACAACCCTAACTAGCAATAAAATCCCCCAAGCTCTAAAAACTTATCAATAGACCTGTTATTCTACCCTCCTCCTTCCCTAAACCCAACCAATAGTATTTTAAAAAGTATCTATTGACAGTTTTCAAAAGTAATCCAGAAAAAGATAAGCCCTTGTCTGATTTTTACCACATTTTCAGATTTTACCACATTCTCACCCTGTTATTTACTTGTTTATTGAATTTTTTGTCTTCTGATTTTGTCTTACCTGTTTTCTGAAACCGCTCTTCACCGGACTCAAACCCCGTCGTCATGGTCATCTCCTTTCTGCATCTCAAGTCTGCAGACAAACATGGGGAACTAACTGCACAAACTGGTAACAGCCAGAAAGCCGTCCATATAGAGGTAAGCGGTCAGCTGTTAAGCACGAAAAAGGAACTGCATCATACCACCCATATCGTTTATTTTGATGAAATGCAGCCACACAAACTTCTGGCTACATAATTTGCGATCTCCAAAAATGTGTAAAGAGCTACATTTTCAGAATGAGCTTATGTGGCAACATCTTCTGATTGGTTGTGATATTTTGACATTATGCAAAATTTAGATTTTCTATACGAGTATAAACTTCAATCTTATTTAAGCAAAACATGTTCCTTTAGTCGCTCCTCGAACAACCCTATCCAGCATAGGATCCGGAAAACCCCCCAAGCCCTGAAATCTAATTAATAGATCTGTTATTCTACCCTGAACACGTACTGCATAGTTAAATCATGTTATTTCAAGCTAGTGTCATTATAAATGGTTGCTGTTAAACATATAGGCCAGCAGAGGAGATGTTAGGCAGAAGGCTGTGTTTAATATGCCTGTGAAGCGTCAGTGTAAAGACAGCAGCTCTTTAATGTCTCACAGCTGCTGGGAATCAGTGCTCACTCTTCACACACTCTGACCTTGATGTCTCATTAGTGCTCTCATTCTGTGTGTGCAGAGTCCTGCCGGGGCGTCCCGTCCACTGTGTCCCGCTGCCAGAAGCACCAGAGACCACCCTGACATGAGCAAATGTTTTATGTAATTTCCACAAAAATAAGGTATTATTTACTAAACCCTCATGACACTCCAAACCTGTTCTGAAACACAAAAGGAGAGGGGTTACAGAGTAAATCTCCAGAGGTGATGATGTTGAATTTTCTAAATGATTTCAATATCAGGGTTCCCAATCTTTTTAAGGATTTTCAATGACTTTTTGGCCATGAAACCCCCCACTTTCGGTTCAGGGGTACCTCAGAATTAAAAAAAATGCATCATAATGGGCGTGGAGCTCTGCGATCAGACGCAGGAGTAGGCGTGCCCAGCAGAGCAGCGGAGAAGGAGTGGAGCGAACAACTGTTGTCAGTCGGCTCACAAAGTTAAAATGCAAAGAAATAAACAGTAATTTAATGCACTGCTACATTTGTTATTTGTAATTTCATATAAACACAACCACAATTTATACAATTGTAAAGATAATCGTGTTTATGTAAACACTAAATGAGGACTTTTCCCTCAATCCCCGGGTCTGAATGCAGACTCAGTGCAGCAGGTCTCTTGCCCTGCCTAATTCAACTATTAGCCCTGGTGGTAATCTGGAGGATTTAGACAAACACAGCAGCACGGAGATGTGTTTAAACGTGAACAAACTCCTTCTGATAAAAGACAAAGTCCACCATTCTCCAATTCTCGTACTGCTCTCCCGACAAAAATGCTTGCTGCACACAAACAGCTTTGCTATATCGGCCCTGATGGCATAGCAGGGAAAAACATGCAACAAACCAGTGGATCATGGAAACAAACACATACGAGCCTTCATGAACAGCTAAATACTGTATGCTGCCTAGGTCCGTGGACGCGGTTTCACTCAGTCATCAATGTAGGGTCTCACAGCTTGAAACTGGCAGGTCTGCCTTGCCTTCGGAAAGCATACGCAATCATGGATAATTAAGAAGCAGGCTCTTCTCATTGGATAAGAAAACTCAGCTATGAATAATAATGAGAAACCAGCACGGCATCTTTGCACTTGCAGTTCTGCGTTACATCGCCGATTTTGATCTCTCCCCAAAAATCATTTTAAGCCTGGAAGATAAAATTAGCTTACAAAAGCTCAAAATTATCCAGTTTTCCCCACAATTAAAGTTAACAGGTGCTAACATTGTCTTAACTGATGCTCAACACACACAAATCTGTTAAAATCTCAAAAAAGTACTTGAGGGTTTCTTGAACCTTTAAAGCAACATTCATTTTAAATCAAGCACCTTTGTAATTCACACCCACAGCACATGTAGCGCCATGAAAGTCCTTACTGTACTTACACGGTAGCATTTCATTTACACTTAATATTGACATTAAAATCTCAGAGTATGATGATACTTTGAAGCTATCATTTTCATCAATTTTGACTGTTTTAAACAGTCATGTTCAAAGAACATGAAGAAAGAAATTTAAACTGGTTTCTGAAACATGCATCATTTGTCACAGTTATTGTGCAAGATTTCAATTTGTTTTTAAATTAAGAATTATTATTATTTTATTTTTTATTTTATTTTTTATTTTTTTTGATGATGGAAGCTGCGAAAGTATTATATACTATTCCTTCTATGCTAATGAAGGACTACTGAGACATTCGCAGAATGGGATGGGTCCTCCTGGTGTGGCAGAGTTCATCACAAATCCAATTCACATCTCTGCCATTTGCTTATTTAAACGCAACTTAATAAACAACTTTGCCTGCTCTAAAGTGTTGAGATTCTTTCTCTTGATCAATGATGATAACAACTTTAATGGAGTTAGATTAATTACAATGGAGTCCGATAAATAATGGATTTAATCATGCCATCCTTCAACTGCTTTCTGTTTCCGACTATTGGTTCAGAATAGCAGCGTAAGCTTTAAACCTTACAATGACAACTCAGAACAATTGTTGAAACAACACCAACAAGTTTCTTTTCAAATTTAATACAACCACTTTCAAGGACTTTTTATTTTGAAGTATTCCTCGGCCTTGAATCCATATGTGTGGGAACCCTGTAATATGTTCCTTGAAGTTCACATGTGATGTTATTGTTTAAGAATTAAATTGTATTTTTTTATTGTCTACATAAAAAAAAAAAAAAAAAAAATATATATATATATATATATATATAAAATTGTGTTCCAATGACTTACTGTTAATTAAGCCGAATACTAGTATCAACCAAATTAACTAGTTGAGTACTCTCATCATGGCAAAGCAAAAAATAAATAAATAAATAAATAAAAATTTGTTATTAGAAATTTTTTACTAAAATTCTAATGTGAAATCCTCTTTATGTTGAATGCAACAGTGCTGGCATGCAGTGTAGACAGAGTCAGATATTTGGAGGAGGGGGACTATGTACATCTGTGATGTCACATGTCAACTTGTTGGCAAACAAAGGGTTTTTACAGTTTGATTAAATTTTATGGTCCCACTTTATATTATGTGGCCTTAACTAATCATTTAATCCTTTGTTACAATGTACCTATTGTGTAAATACATGTTTTTATATTGTACTTATGATTGATTAAATTATTGTGTAAATAAACTGTTCAACATCCCTTACACCTTAATCCACACTTAAAACTACCCATAACACCAAACCTGTCCTTTACCCTACCTGTATCCCACCGAAACAGAACCAGAAGTGTTCTGAAACACACCTTGAACACAGTAAGTACATTGTATTTATTTCTTTTGCAAGAACATACAATGTAAAAAATCCTTGTTGCCTTAAATTTTTAAGCTGAACCAAATTAACCTTTTAAGTCCATTGAACTTATATTATGTTAAACTGACTTAAAACAGCATGCATAACTTATACAATTAAGTTAGAACATGATTTACTTAGTTTACTAAGTTGCAATGAACTAAAAGCATAGGCTGCCATAATTAATTGATCATGTAATTTTTTTACAGTGTTGTTAAGGCAACTTAATACAAAGTAGGATCAATTTTGTAAGAATGTGGACATTTAAAACTGTTGAAATTTGCAGGATTTTATGTGTCGAAAGGTCAAAGCAACTTTGATTTCATATGTCATGACTTTCAATAAAGAGACCAAATCATCTGAACCACATTTATGATACCTTTTTTGGTGCTTGTTGCCATTTTGAAAATTGATTGCCACAATTTTAACTCAAACATGCTGCATTTAAAATAGTCATCACTGTAAAAGGCATCGACTTTATTACATTTTTTATCTTACAGTTGAAGTCAGAATTATTAGCCCCCCTGTTTATTTTTTTTTTTCTCTCCAGTTTCTGTTTAACGGAGAGAAAAAAAATGTCAACACATTTCTAAACATAATGGTTTTAATAACTCATTTCTATTAACTGATTTATTTTATCTTTGCCATGATGACAGAAAATAATATTTTACTAGATATTTTACAGCCCCCCCCCCCCCCCTTTTTTTTTTTTTTTTACAGCTTTATGACTTTTAAATGCTTAACTAGGTTAATAAGGTCAACTAGGCAGGTTTGGGTGAGGCTTGGATGGTTTTCTGCAGACTAAGGAAAAAAATATATCTTAAAGGGGCTAATAATTGTGATCTTAATGTTTTTTTTTTTTTTTAATTAAAAACTGCTTTCTAAGCCGAAATAAAACAAATAAGACTTTCTCCAGAAGAAAAAAATATTATCAGACATACTGTGAAAATGTCCTTGCTCTGTTAAACATCATTTGGGAAATATTTAAAAAAGAAAAAAAGTCAAAGGGGGTTTAATAATTCTGATTTCAACTGTAAAAGTGAGTAAACCTGTTGGAATTGTTAAGTTTACTTTTTTAATTATGTGCATAGTTTATTTACCTATTAAATTTAAGGCTACATATTGTGTGTGTGTGTGTGTGTGTGTGTGTGTGTGTGTGCGTGCGTGCGTGCGTGCGTGTGTGCGTGCGTGCGTGTGTTTGAGTGTTTGAGTGTTTGAAGGTTTGAGTGTTTGTGTTTGAATTATAGGGACAATTTACCCCCAAATGAAAATGGAGTCATCATTTGGACTCCAGATCCATTTTATTTGCCATTTTATCTTTTATCAGGCATTTTTATCATGTTTAGTTTTAGTAATTCCACTTTAATGGCAATGAAAATGTATTCGCTGATTACAGAACAGCCTTATTTTAATGCCATTGAAGTGATTGTTTTATATGCCATGTTAGTGACTTTAGAAAGAGGAACGCATTATTCACCACAGGACTTGTGCTGTTTTTAATCTGGCACACAGACCTGAAACATCTGCTTGCTTTTTGATATTGAAATTCTTAAGTGAAAAAACCTGTGCAGCGTCTACACAATCGAGTAGAGTTTCACATCCCAAATCAGCATAAAGTGCTTCAGATGCTCGACCAAGGCAGATCTACAGTTACCCAGATAGAAACAGATGTGTCCGTCAGCTAGACTGAGATAAGAATTTGTTTCTTGTCCATTTTTATTGATGGGAAATTTGAAAATTTCTTGATGTTTTTAAAACAGCAATAAACGTCAGAGTAGTTTTGAATGTTTCTCAAAGTGCTTACCATCCCTATAACTTCATTCATGACTAGCAACATTTATTCGGTTGGCCGTTCAACGTCTGTCATTCAATGTTACTCAAGTTCTCTTCCCAAGACGAGGCACTAGAGAAATCTGACAGAACATAAACAGGATTATTTCAAATTAAAACCTTTATCAAATTATAAGTGATCTCATTGCTCAAGGCCCCCCCCCCATATATCTCCCAAATTTCTGTTTAACAGAATGATTTTTAAAACAATTTTCTAAACATAATAGTTTTAATCCCTGTGCACTGTTCAAATCTACTACCTTTTAGTTATGTTACAGATGAAAACATCCACTGAATTAAACTGCTTTAAAAATGCATCAGATACATTTTTTTTCTATTTTTTATTTCATTTATTTATTATTATTATTATTATTACATAAATCTGTTGACCAGTCCTGAATAAAACTACTAAATTTTTTTATTTTTTATATATTTTTTTTTTACAGGATTTTAACTGTTAAATTGCCAAGTTCACAAATGATGTCACTGATTTGGTAACA